CACTGGGGCATACGCTTTGCGTTTGGTCCACAGCAGTCAGTTCAAGAAGAAAGTAACACAGACAAATGCAAATCATTTGCTCCAATGACACTTGGTGGTACTGTAATGTCATCTCAAGACCTCAGTGTGACGCACCGCGCGCGAAGTGAGCGGGGTGACCTACTTTCGACGGACACGCGCAACGGACGTTCTCCCCTCAGCAGTGACGCTCGCAAAGGCCGTCGCAGAAAGTCAGTGAGCCTAGCGCTGCATCACTTCCATTTCTTTAAGCCACATATAAATCTTGTCGCACTGCTTACTGGGCACCTTTTTCACAGTGATTATCTTTTCGTCGAAGTACAGGAATTTCGTACGACAATTTTTTCGAATATGGCAGGGCAGCTTTTGTGAGCCAATCTTTCTCTTCTCTCTTCCCTGCTCACTGGGGAGTCCAGATTAGTGCAAAAACGACAAAGAAAACGTGAAAATCGGCGTATTCATAGCGATACAAGGCTTCAAAGTAGTAGTGAAACTAGGGGTTGGACGAGAATGTGATGACATGTGAAAGGAAAGTTTCATCGTCAAGGCTCGCAAAATCCGTTGCCGGGTTTTTTGAAAGAACGAATTTAGAGCTCAATAGATCTTTGAGACTACCCTACTGGCTCAGGTCCAAACCGCTCACTAGAGCATCGCGCTTTATTGGCTTCACTACGAAAGATTGAAAAACTCACAATAAGTGTAACCATCATGTAAATGCCAAATAGAACTTTGAGAATAATTTTAGCAAAATCAGGCACCAGATGAAGAGGAGGCATGCTATCCGGCTCGACAAGCCTAAATAATAGATCTGTCAAATGTAGTACTGAGCAGATGGAATGTACCGAAATATTTCATGACTAAGTCCCCTTCCACATTAACAGTGTAGCGTTTCCCCCTTGAAAATTCCACCAATAACCACACAAACCAAACGAGCAAAGAAGTAAGGGTGCAGGCACAAAACACACTTTGTTCAAATGATGCCTCCCAGTGAAGGCTATATCGGCCTTCGACTATTCGCCTAAGAAAAAGTAAGGAGGTTCGCCAGTAACAAGAAACCCAAGGTGAACCGCGGTGGCTAGGAAATAAGCTGAGGAGCGTTAATCCCTTCATGAGAGGTCTTTTACTACAAGATCAAGCCCGGCAGCCCAAACTATCCTATTTTTAAGAAAGACATTAATGAGGTCCTGAGAGGACTAAAAAAATTTGAATCAACTTCATTTCTCTTACCCAAACAACGAAAAGAAGAGCATCTCAAGTGTTTGCTCCGGAGAAGAAAGTCGCATAAGTTCTGCACTGTCCTCGTCGAGTGGCTGGTAAGCAGGCTGTAATGGATACTATGTTCATATCCTTGAAAAAAGACATTGCCTCCATGTGAAATTATATATATTTACCTGGAAAATTGACGTAACATGTAGTGTGAATCCCGCAACGAATAATAACAAAATTACAAGAAAACGAGCCAAATCATACATTAGATCTCTGCAAAGCAATTCCACTGGAGAAATTTTATCTTCTCGTCGAACAACGAACAAAACTACCTGATAATGATGGCCCAAGGACCAAATAAATGATGCACCGTGAGAAAATCAAGGAACTCAACGAAAGCGAAAAGAAGAGCAAAGGCAAATAGCTGGTTCTGAAAAAATCATTTGAAATCAAATGTGAGAGGAAGTAACTGGCTGTTGTAGAACGGTACCTTGAGGTAGAGCATCGTCCTGGCGAAATGTAGTTTCTCGTCGTTGTCAAGATGGGTCATAGCAACTGCAGGGAGTAGAAATGCTAGCACATGTACGGCTATAGCAGCAGCCGACAGAACCAGAATTAGGACCTGATGAAGTGCAAGCTCAAATTTGTTCAAGTTCACCGTGCAGAAAGGTTATAACTTCTTCAGTCGGCAGCGTTGTACCTTCTAGAGCCAGCGACCGATAACTGGTTGAAGTTACGGGAAATGGACAAGCTCATGACTCTTACGAAACCGTGGAAGGAACCCTCTCTCCGTACCGAATCAAATTCGAGTTTGCACTTTCTGGGCACCGCTCTTGGTAAGTGCCCTCCCTCCCATTCTCAAGAGCACAGTCTCACCCGAGTATGAATCTGTGGCCCCCGTTTATGCCGTAAGTCGCATTGTCGGGTTGAAAAGCGGTTCAGATCGGATGAATTGATGGCTTAAGGATGGTTTTCACTTTTTGCCACATCCTGGGGTGGTCGTATTGACAACCGCGTAGGGACTGCGCATTCTCAATGCCTGGTTAAAAATTTCAACAAAAAAACTAACAATAATTTGCAATAGTACAGAGAACATCGAAATGAGGTTGCCAATACTTTGAATGAATGGTCTGAGACGGCATTGGCAGGCAGTTTTTGACGTTTTCTTTGCATACTTTTTTCTATGTTATACAATTGTGCTGAATTCGAATAACTACAACATACTGTGCATGCAATTGCGTACAGCTGATATCTTTTCCACAGACCCCGTTCGTGGCACTTTCCCTTCACGAACTCGTTCAATCCCTTACCTTAACCTTACCTTACCCTAAGTTTTTTCATTTCATACCTACCTTGACTATTCCAAGACCAGAACCTCCACCAACATTTGATAGCTCTGACACTAGATTACCGCTCAGCCACAACAGAAGCAGCCACTCTACAGGATTTGGAATCACGGACGTAACCTCGTACCTGAACGA